AGGAGTTTAAAATCGGATTATGCATAGCCGAAAATCCTCTAGGACAGACACCAAAATGGCCACAAAACTCTGCAATGGTTCAGTGGTGATACGAGTGAGACTAATTTCAAAGGAGACATACATTAGCTGCTCGAACATGGCGATGAAACCGAATTGGTTATGGCGTCAATAATATGGAAAATAATCCGGATTCAAGAGGTACACGTTGAACGAAACTATAGCCTCACTGGATTTAGAAACAAACAGAAGAATGTTCGTAGCTCCGTATAATTTAGACCTTTGGCTAAACAACATTTATCATGCTTATGGCACGCAAATTAATGTTTCAGCGTCTGTATAGGGGTTAACGAAAGCTAACAGTAGCTAAATCAACGCCATTACAACAGACTACTACGTGTCCATTTTTTTGTGTCTAGCCATTTTACCGGCAATTTACTGACAGAGGAAAGATATAATTTAAGTGAGTTCAGAAACTGGAACTGGAAAATTTTTTATAACCAATGCAGCGCTTAGTGTACTCTTGATCGTAACTCGTATTTTGCTATTTAGTACCATAAACGTTCAAGTGAATCGGAAATGAAACATTTCTTAGCCTTGTTCTCTGTCCTTTCCATGACCTCAACAATTTCGGTAAACATATTTTTCAAATATGAAACCTTAATATGTCGATTTAATTCAGGACTGCGTTCCATGTCACAGGCAATGCCACAAGAAAGACTTATCGCCAAGTCAACGCATTCTCTCTGGAATGGACACTCTTCCGAACTCTCAGCCATCTGTGGTGCGTATTTCTGCTAATGGTTCCCATATCACTGGATTTCTGATCTGTGTCGATGGATTCGAAGAGAAGACATTACTCCTAACCGCACAGCGTGGCTTATTTAATAGGTCCGTGCTGGCAATTACTCGGTATCCGCTACATGTATCACTCTCGATCGCTAACGTCCAATAACTCATCTTATTCAAATCTGTCTGACACTTCACATCACAATTTTTCCTCATGCGAAATAGTAAACCAAAAAGTTACTTATGCGTCATTTTTTTGAAGTAACCGTTTATTAGAAAGCTCTACTATAATGCACATTAATAAAATGGCGGAGTGCATTCGACGAATTACACTCCACAAAGTCAGCGCAGTCGAAAAACTCTTGCCATCCTCATTTGTTGTTACATCATAGAAACGTTCTCTTAGCAGAACACACCTAAGAACGTGTCTTTAGTGTCTTACTTGTAGCAATTCACCGTAGGATGATCTGCAGAGTTAAGCTTACTTCTACAAGGGCCGATCTTAATGTATCCATCCAAATCGCAGGCAGCGCTGAAACAGGCTTACACAAATTCTTCTCTTCTCATGCCTGCGCTTTAAGAAAATCATAACACATTATTTAGCAAAGAAGCTATCATTTTTTCCTGTCAAGATGATCTATTACTCATGAAAAAAACTTGCGAGCGATGGTGGCAACCGTCGAAGTGTTACATGTGCCCAAAATATAAAACACAAAATATAAAATAATGGTGTACAGTTTGTGAATATCCTCAGGTCGTAAGACCTCCATGCTTCAATATGATCCAGAAATATTCTGTAAGCACTGTCCAAGCTCCACTGAAAACTGATTTTTTCGCTGAGCTACTTTGGACTAATTACTTCTGTTAAATCACATAGAGCCAATTCTCTGTACATTTCAATATTTTTAGTGATAACGTTCTTCTTGATCCGTCTTTGATACAAGTGACCATGGGAGCGGTGGATTTCCGTTTCAACTTCGAGACGGGACGTATGACGCATATCCTCTCTAAATACGTTGTTTATGCAAAATTCTTCCACCGGAACCCAGCTTATGACATTGCCCTCCTCGAGATTTATCCCCGAGTGCGCTGGTCACCCAAGATTCGGCCATTGTGTCTACCGGAAACGCCGGTCCAGACCATGCAGCACTGCTACATGTACGGCTACGGATCGACAATGAGTAAGTGATGCATCGAGGTGACTCACTAATGATTAAATTTCATTGTAGGAATTGACTCCAGACCATCATCCACGTTAAAATATGCAACTCTTGCCATCCTCAACCAGAGTGTCTGCCTTCGGCACTTTCAGTACAACAGCCGTCGCCTTATTTGCACGTCTAGCATCGATGCACATCGAACACCAACCAACGTGAGTCATTTCGTGTATCATATCAAGGCATGCTTTCCGCAATAATATGCACTAAACATATGTGTTATGATAATCTTGCCTAAAATACAGATTTAGGGGGACTTCGGAGGGCCAGTGTTGTGCGCTGAATCTGATGGCGGCTATTTTTGGTATGCACCACGTGGCATAATCACCGAGCAGATCAACACCCGTGGTTGTCTGCACATTCATACTGATGTGACCGCGTTTAAAAATTGGATATCAGTAGCAGCTGGCCAACTGAATTCGCTTCCACCAAACAGTCGAAGCAAGCTGGGTTTAAACCCGTTTAGCTTTCAGCTATTGAACTGACGTGCTTGCATAGAAAAGTGAAATTTCCTATCACGTTAAACGGTGTACTTCGATGCGTGATCATTAAACATTTTTATAACCATTGAAAAACCTATCGAAACAAAGTTCTAGGATAGATTGCATGGTGAAGTATCCCTGAAACGATTGTGCGCCACTTTGAAACATTTTAATAATGCAATGACTTGCATATCGTCCCCGATCTTGAGTCTCGTTCATAATCGATTTTTCGAACATCAGCGTCGCTGACATTTTAATTTTCTCATTTTAATATTCGGGTATTCGTTTGTCGCAGAATTCGTCGAAACTTATTTGTTCAGCAGCGCGTACCCCCTTCTTTGTGACGCGCAGGCGTTAGCGCTTGAAAGGCATGTGTGCATTTTCTGCATCTGGTCCTTTCATCGCATCGAAGAGCATATTATCTGCTGATTGGCACCTGATTCGTTTGACCAGTCGTCTAGCAATGCAGCCTCTGTTATTCAGCCTTCGATCTGGCGTCTCCAGTCCAATCGAAATGCAGAGTTAATTAATTGTTTATGATAATATAAAACGCGAGCAAAATGTACAGGTCTTCTGAAATATTTTGGTGTTTTAAACCACGTTAGAGTTGCTGGTTTATCCATGCAGTTCAGTGGAATATTTGTAAGGCTGGAACTGATGAAAAAATAGTGGACATATCTGATGATGTAATGGGTCTACATATAGAGGGAATGCGAAAGCATCGAGATGAGGCCATGAGTATATTACTAGTTTTTTATCAATGTAAATAAATTACGCTTCATGTAAGATAATCCCTTTCTTTATCAGAGGTTTCAACATTATTCGCCAAATCGATTAAAAGGAACCAGTACTTTGAAAATTTTCCTCGTCATTAGTTCAGTGCCGGAATTCGAAACGCGGGAATTATGAAAGCGAGTATTTTAGGTCACGCTTGAATAACAAATCGAGTTATTTATAACATGAACTTGTTCTGAAAAATGACATTCCAAAAATCACACAACTGTGCTGATGCACACTCTATGCTGATGCAAAATATTGCAGGCTATACATCTAAAATTTTTATCATGAATGCGTCTTAGACATGGCGTAAAGCAAATATGGTCCTTCGAATAAGGTGGTGCACTCTTACTATTAGAAAAGGGTGCCCCCCCCCGTCGGAGAATCCCGATGGTCGTTTCACATTCGTCCTTTACACTACAGAGGACAGAGTACTGCTTTTGGCAGGTATACTTCGCTTTCGCATGTCGCTTGCGATTCGGCTTAATCACTCTGCCGTATTGGATTAGTTTCGTCACCAAGGATCCACTCAACCAGCAGCATGAAAGGAACTCGCCTTCTGGTTCAAAACCTAAAAACCTCTACAGAAAACAAGAAAAAAGACACAAGCATTGTCAAGCTCATCCGCCAAGAAGGAGCTTCATGAGAAAGTACTTGAAACGTCTGTTACTGGTCGTTATGGTTATCAATCTTTCAAGTGATTATTTTACGTTTGGAGCTGTGTGCCAGCAAGCCATGCATAACGCTGTTTTTGAGTATGACCATCAAAGGACAAATTACATTGTCTCGCATTTTTGTCCTGTTATTCAACTATTAAAGTAGGATAAAAAACAATTTAAATTTTTAAAATATCCACTGCTGCTATGTCCTATAATTTCCAATGTCGCTGAACTCTGAATTTAGCACCTGACCTCTCTCCGACGATACCTCATAATATGCAAAGCATGTTCAAAATTATTGGATCATTCGACCGTAAGAGCTGATACCAGAAAATACAAGAAAATGTATTGCTTCTCTTAGTTTAATAACAACCCGTCTGTGGATCGAAAGATTTCGATTTCTAATAAGATTTTTGGATCAATGAAATATTAACTAACGAACAATTTCTCTATTAAGCTGAATAGCTCTATGTTCACGCAAGCGCTCTTCATGTTTACTCACACAAGGTTCGACCCAGCTTTCGTCGAAAATTTACATGAGAGTTTGCTTTGTTTCAGTCCTTGCGCTTTGACTGATTGCAACCTTTGCTGTGTTGTTTCTTAATTGAGAAGAGTATAATCTGTTTACGCAGAGGTTGCAAAGTTGCGCCGAATGTTATGCAAATACTGGAAGTTATTACTACTAGCAATGAAATGCGCCCTCCCCCATCCCCCCTCCCAGTATATACACTACCTTAGACGCTGGGCGAAGAACAAAGGGAAAATCGCTCGCCTTAAACAAAGAACCGGAATCGTGGCCCGAACAAAGGAGGGAGCGGTTGTCCCCAGCAGGCAGCACGACAGAGGCGCAACTTGCACCGGAAGAGCAACCACCAGGTTAACGGGAATTACTCCTCGAGGATGAACAGAGAATGCGCCAACTGTATAAAAGGACCAACCCACGTTTCAACAATACAGAGACTATTACATCGATATGGAGTGTTATGATATTTCGTGTGTGCACTTATATCTTTTCATATGCGCGTTATCCTTGCTGGTAAAGACTCGGGACCAGATTCCTCGCATTGTTTGCTACCAGTCTCCAGCGAGTTACAATTCTACTAACGCTATTTTCAGAATCATGCCACCACAGGCCATCGTACTCCACGGGATGATTAATAAAAAATGGGGAGGAACAGCAGATTGTGATGTCGCGTTTGTCACGCTGAAAAGGACACTGGTAAGGACGGCGGTACTGAGCCAGTCGTCCTTCAAAAACCACTTCATTCTGAATACATATGTAACTGGCAACATCAAGAAGCGTGCTGTCACAACGCATCCATGACCAAGAGAACTTAATCGTAGGAGGGAGCAGAGCTCTAACCAAAGCCGTACAGCACTACTGTGAAACACGAAGAAAATTATCCACAGACCTATGGAACACAACAGTTTGCATGGTACCTGCACAGAAAGCAGCTGTTGGCTCCAACTGACCAAAGGAGTCTTAAGTGATTAGGCTCGCTTAAAGAGCTAGAGACAAGGCAACTGTCGCACCTTACTGGAGTGCAATTGCCTTATAAAGTACAATAGCACCTTCTCCGCAAAGGATGCGACATTTTCATGCAATTCCTCGACCCTCTCCAAAGAAATCGTGGACGATCCCAGTTCGGTCACCAAATCTGGAGGATTCTTTGAGGCTTGCTGTGCGTTCCTTGTTTGCAAAGAATGTAGCATAGGCAAGTGCATCCACATACAAACTTCACTTATATACACATAGGTTTATATACGAATCTGTAAAAATAATATCACCGCAAGCCGTCTCATTCCGGCTGGTTGCAAATTACTACATGATTCAACTTTCGTTGTATTTAGAATGTTTCAAGTCTTTAAGTTCGCTTCGTTCTTAGCTATATTATAATCGCATCCCTGTGCCACGTGATTCTTAACCAATTTCTG